CTCCTTACTACTATTACCACGCAGAATTTCAGAAATACAGGTCTCAAAAGCCATTGGAGGTAGCAATTTACAGGTGGAAAATAGCAGGGTTGGAAAAGATTAAATGGAGTGCTCTTCAAGTTCAAAACATCTTAAGATTCTGAGCAATGCATGGCTCTTTTTTTAACAAGGGGAGAATTTGTTCTTTCTGCCAGAAGACAATCTTCCAAAGGTATATATTTGGAATATATGTTTAAAAATGAATTGGACTAAAAGACTACATTACTTTTCCCTTCTGCAGTTAGAAAAACAACATACTTTCTTCAGAGTGTTGTTTAAAAACAAATGAACTTAGGGACATTATAAGACAGAGGACCGAAGCCTTACAATCCATCTGTGCTGGAGCATCATCCTCCAACACATAGCTTTTTTATGAAAAACACTATCCCTGACGTTACTCTAAGGAAAAAGTTGCCTGCCCTTTAAGACTGTAAGAATGGCTTTGTTGTGTCAAAGCAGGATCTCATTCCTTCAATTTTTCTATCTCCAAGAACATTTGCCAGGTGTTCTGAATGTTCTTAAGATGACCGTGGAGGGAATGGTATTTGAGGATGTACTACATCTTGACAAAGAGATTCCCTTTTAATTGCTGTTATCTAATAGGACCAGATCAAGCTGTCCTTTGCAAATGTCTGGTCTTTTTAAAGATTCAAAGCAAATTTCTCACAAAATCCTGGAACAATTACTGGCATTTTTCTGTCTAATGGTTTATCAGAACAAAAAACAAAAGCAGAAGCAGTTGTTGTGAAGGTGCCATGCTTATAAAACCGTGAGAGGGTTATAACTGGGCTGGCATATTTTGTGTTAATGTTACTAGGGTCAAGGTCTTTCCTATCAACCTTCTCATTCTGCATACAGTCTTGACAGTGATAAGAGAAGCATATAGATCTGGTCCTTTTCCTGTATGCTAATCAATGTATCATGGAAAATTGTGTGTCTTTGCAAACACAATGCTTGGTTCCAGTAGATAAGTTCCTTGCTTATTACAAATGAAAAATTCTTCATCTGTTGACCTTACTGGCTTCACGCTCTTCTTTTCTTGACTTGAAATAATCCAGTTTCCCCCTAGCTGCTGACCTTCAGGCATGCTGAGGAATACCAGGCTGAGGAAAGCTGGAGCAGAATCACTCCCCATTTTCTCAGCATGATCATACTGGTTTCCTACTTGCCTGATATTTTGATGCATAACTGCAATTAACTCCAGATACTGTAAAATATGCCCATCTCTTGTTTACTAATCTAGAGGGATATTCTCCCATTCATATTTTGGGCAAAGGCTGTTTCGAATGGGAAAAATGTGCAAGGTGACAAACATCATGCCATACATTTTCATTCCTATACATTTAACATGAAAACATAGATATATCTTTCTGTGACACCTGGGGGGGAGGTCTCAGCAGGTGACAGCACCGAGCCAGCCTTGGCTGAAAACACTAAATAGGGTCAGACTTGAGTAGTACCTGGAGACGACCAGGAATTCTCTGGGCTGTAAAGAAAGTAGCTTGAGAATTCAGAGACATCCTGGAAAAAAGGAATAGCAAATCACTGCAAGAAAACAACATGGACGTGAAGTGATATCGTACCACATTTCTTGTCAGGAATTCAAATAGTGGTTCTCTAATCCAGCACAGGGTTCTACTTTTTAAGGGAGATCTATGGGCAGACATCACTATTAGATTATGCTGGAGCACTGGAAACTAGCAACGGATACAAGAGTGCATCTTGTGCCAGAACTACGAATAATCAGAGTAAATATTGTTGGTCTTTTTCCTTATTGCAGTACTTCAAAGTCCATTAGGTGAAAGTGTATATATTTACGAAGCCGTGGCTGATAGAACAAACACTAGAGAAGGACGCCTTGCTTAATAGGTCTTGATCCTACATCAGAGAGTGAGGGAACTTGTGAGGGAACTCTAAGAGTTTGTTAAGCTACAACTCCCAGTATCCTCATCGCAGATCATGCTGACTGGGGAAGCTGGAAGTTGTAATTCAACAACATCTGAAAGTCACAGGTTCTACCTGTTCCACATAATTTGCACTCCGTCCAATACTGCAAGGTGGGAGATTTATAGATAATGTCTTCTGCAGCATGGAATGAAATATTCCCAAATACCATATTCAAATATAGGATCTGATGCAAAATCTACCTAAACCTCAGTATGCAATAACATACCCAGCTTTCCTGTCACATTTGTGACTATCTATCTAAAAAGTGACAGATTATTTTCTCACAGTTAATCTTACGTTATATACAGTACATCACCTTAATATTTAAAATAATATTACTTAAAATAATGAATATTACTTAAAATAATAAATATTTTCCCAATCATTGCCCCCCCCAAGTTCTAAAATAGCATTCCCCTGGAGATTTGACTTACAGCAATATTACTGGAATTTAGGAAAACAGACAAAACCTGGTTATTTCAACAGACCTTTTGGGGGAAATGAATTTAGATTCTTCCTCTCAGTTCTTTACCTTATAGGATTTTAAGGTTACTCAGCACAGGAATGTTAATTATTATGTTAAATTTGTTGATGCAATGTTTGCTATTTATCTGATTTGCACATGGTGGAACTATGAGCCACTCAGAGTCACTCAGCAATTTAAGCAGCATATATGTCTAGAAAAACAAATAAATAAATATGGCAAGCATGCAAATGTAACCTGTATTTTAAAAGAATAAAAGCTCCAGAGACTAGAATCCTTTACAGCAATACTGCCTCAACATGTTGTGTCCTATTCCATAATGGTAAGACTGCAGGATAATTACAGTATTGCTATGTATCAGGCTTGCACATCTTTTAATTTCTGTAAAAAAAGCAGAAAACATAACTTTTTTTCCCTGGGATTAAAGCATCCTGCATACTCAGAAGGACAGGATTCAGCCCAGTTTTAGTTACTGGCAAGGCCCAAGAGAAAAATCATAATTCACATTGCTTAAGAATCATTTTTTTAACTACTTTAACATGATGCTGCCTTCTCTAGGTTTATAATTAATTGAAATTTTATGAGTTCAGTATTGATTCCAGATTTTTTTATCTTAAACAAGCTACCTTACTTTTATGAAACTACGAATCCAGTAGATTCACTCACACAGAAACATAAATACTGTTAATAATGCTTTTTTTTTAAAGATGAGAGCAAAATAAGGGGCAACAAATCAACATCCAATTCTACTAATTAGGGGACAGGGACAATAAAATTAAGACAGATGATTCAACATACTCCTGGTCACATGTGTTTTTCATGTATTCAGGCCTACTTCTAGAGTTATGTGCAACTTTAAAAAAAAAAACTTAACATTTAAATATACATATTTCTGAATATATTTTCTCACAACATAATTTCTAAACATATTCTAACCCTAATGAGTACAATTATATTTTATAGAACTTTAAATAGAGCATTGCATTAAAACTGAAAAATCTGAGGAACAGAAATATTCCAATCTGCAAATGAATTCAGAAGTTGTGCATCAAGTCAGTTTACAGCAGAATTCAAACAATTTTATAAAAATAAAAGCAACTGAATTTTATTTAGACATTGAATTAATAAAACTTCATCAAAAAGTTCTGTTAAGTCAATTATGCCTCCCAGAGGACCAAAGGCCTACATCCTGATCTATATCGCCCAATCAGTGATGAGTTCTCAAGTAAAAGTAGTCCTTCAGACTATCAGGACTCAAACCACTTAGGATCTCAAAATTACTTTGTTTTGGGCTTGGAATTGAACAAGGAGCAATATAGAATATGACCTCAGCAAAATTATTTAGCAAGCGTATGTCAACAGAGGCTTTGGGGAGAAGCCTCAATATGGCTCCTAAAAATCTGTTCTTCCTTGAAGCAAAACATTCCTCAATCCAGCTGAGATTCCTCCTGCCTTCTATAATCTAAAACAGTACAATGCAAGACACAGATTGACAATCTTAGTGAAAACTATGACTTTGATACCAGAGGAACATCCTCCATAATATCACCATAAAAAAAAAAAGCTTTAAGAAACAGCAGTAGTCCTTTTTGAAGGCCAACTGACTTACAGTTATATTCTCATTATCCTGGGCTTGGTTCTGGCTACATTGTTGCACCTAATTTCTTCTGAATCCTTATAAGTGAAATCAATGTATAACAAATTAATTCTGTTGAGTCAAAGTAAGTAGCAATATCTAGGTGGCCTTAACTGATCTCAAAAATGATGAGAGGATTGGACCTAGATAGTACTTGAACTGAGAGACCACAAAGGAATCACAGGGCTGTAGATTAGGCTAGGAAGTTTTTTAAAAATGACTACCCACTTTTGTCTTGTTGCCAAGAAACATGAACATGTCTATGTAGTCTCCATGAGTCACACTCAACCTGAGGGATAGTTTATTTACTTTTATATGCTATCAGTTTTGGTGAGGCACTTTTACTTAATATAATCTTAATCCCTCTTACTAACATTAGAATGTTAAATATAATGAAAATATGTTATTTATGCACTGCTTACTGGGACTCCCTTTTTACTTGTCCATATTCAATATTTATATCCATAGTAGATTTAGAGCCAAAGTTAGATAAGTGTTTACTGGACATTCTCCTGTGGAAGATACCATAATAGGTGGATACAAAGGAAAACCTGTACAAACCATGATACATTTAACCCCTCTTCATTTCAACAACAAAAAGTTTCCAGAACTCTGTACACTTAAATAAACAGATTTCAAAAATCTTTATGCATTCCTGTTACATCCAACTTTGATAGTGAATTCTACTTCTAAACAATGTACAGTTATTAGTATATCATATTCCAAAATAGCATATGAAAAGCAAAAATAAAAATAAAAATAAAAGTGTTAGCAGATACTGAACAGCTTGTATTCCCAAGAAACAGAGAGGGTGGAATGGGATGAAAGCTCCATGAGAAAATGAAAGCTGCTAATCTGTTTTCCAAGTGAAACATTTGAGGTGATTGCTCTAACCTGGGGCACAGTACATTCTCTCTATGGCATCGTTGTCACAGGAATCTTCAACCTCACTCCACCTGCTAAAATACGTTAGCTGAATGTGTCCTAAAAACAAAACGACAGGAGAAATCAAAACATTTTTCCCTTCCATTTTATGCAGAAGTGAACTGTAATTACTCCTTTTGTAGCTAAAAACAGTATCATTAAGAATAATGGCATCATTAAGTACTAGAAGCTATTACTGGGGGTGAATTTGCTGCACTGATAATGAAGCTCTAGACAGGAAATGAAGATACTAATTACAAGATAAAACGCCTTCTCAGTTAATTGGAAGCAACAGCGAATAAAAAGAAATGCATTTGCAAAAGTTCCTGACCTCGATCATTCAATAAGATGTTGTTTGGGTTCAAATCACGGCACACAATTCCTTCTCGATGCAAGGCATCAAGGGCTACAACCATTTCAGCTGCCCATCTTTGAATACAGCCCTCAGGGAGGTAAAATCTGGAGGTTAGTGCTAATCTCTCATCCAAGTCCTGAAAAAAACGATGTATTTCATTCTCTCCTCTGCTCTTCACACCCAACTCTTTGCTTTCTGCTTTGTATGACAAAGAAGGGGCTGTTCCCTCTTCGTTGTTTTCTTCAGCATGATCAGAAAACAGCAACACAGCTTCACTGTCCACGTCTAAGCTGTCTTCTGTAACATCTACTTGTGTACTGGAAACCAAGAAATTCTCCTTTACGCTGAACACATCTAACAATGATGTTGTTGCTTCTCCAAGTTCTTGAAAGGCCGTCCTGTCCCCAAAACCAGCTGGGTCACTAGCAGCTGTATGGAATGTCCTGACTGTTTCCTGATTTCCTTTGTGTAGTTCTTTTGATTCTTCTTCCCTCAAATGCTCTACCTTTTGCTCAAGCACTCTGCTTTGTTCTGCACTGTTATTCAATTGCAAGACATCAGGAGTTTCCAAAAGTTTGCTTTCCAAGATGTCTCCATTCTGTTCCATCAGCTTTGTTGGCCCATCCACTGAAGCTTCTTTCATTTGCTCCATAATGCCTGGCAAGTTGACCAAAAGGTCAGGTCTCCCTTCATCAATACTACCAACCTCATCAAAAGCTACATCCTTAAATGATATCACAGGCACAGAGTCATTAGAACCCCTGCTGATAGTATCCTGAGATACAAGGCTTAATTTGTTTTCTATGGCTTCAAGGCTCTTATCCTGATCTGATGTGGGAAAAAATGGTTTAAAAGATTCTGATTTTAAGCTATAAAGTTTATCTCCAAAATCAAGCCCCAGAAGTTCACTGGTGCTATCTTTACTATCAATTCTGAAAAATTCCATGGGGCTCTTCTTGGATTTATTTAACGACTCTGATATCATAGTAGGATTAACCGTTTCTGGATCCACATCATCAGCAAAATCTTTTATTTCCTGACACGTGAATGCAGATTCCAAGTTCCCAGTGGCAGCTCCATCTTGCGCTTTGACGCCTCTTTGCTCTTTGGTAATGAGAACATTATCATCTGATTTCAGGACAGATTCCTCGTTTAATGAACCAGGGTCAACTTTTTCTTGACTGTATTCATTGCATAATGTTAGATAACTTGTGGTGCATTCTTCCTCTGAACTAGACCCAGAGTCAATCCATTTGGGAGAACTTTCCTGACCATCTTCTTGATTACTACTACCATCTTGAGAACTTGGGGTAAGACTGGTCTGCAGTGGTAAAACCTTTAACATATTGTCCCCATTACTTCTTCTGGAGCCAAGGCTACTGCTGATATCCTGAGGACTAGGACTTGCCTGATGCAAATGTATTTTGGTACAGCTGGGTTTCCTGGATTTAGGGGCTTCAAAGCTTTCTTCGGGGCTCCTGTTCAAGAATTTACTAATGTAAGACCAAAGCTTGCCTCCTGTGAGAAAAAAGAAAGTAACCAAAATTAGTTGTATTTCATGTAGTGCCTAACTACGGCAGAAGGTATAATTATATGTGAGGTATTAACACTGGTGGAAGTTGCTATCCCACTCTGGTCCTCTAACAGTATGTAATGATGTACTAGTATTACAACAGCACTAACCTGATGTTTCTGCATTTTTATACCATCCATCATCTGCAACAGCAGAGTGATATTTAAACATTCTAAAATGGTTTACAATGAAAGCAATACAAGAACCTCACCTTTAGTAATAAAAGGCAGGAAATAACATAAAATATACATTTCACATCAATCAGCTTAAAAAATGTTCAGAATGCCCAAATTTGTTTGTTTGATTGGTTGATTTCTAAAGTTGCCTTATCACCAAGATTTTGATATAACACCCAATGTAACATAACAAGGTCTGGCTCCAATTAACTGCTCCCACTGAAGTTAAGGGACAGTATCTATAAGCAAAAGGAAGATGGGTTGTTTCTCTTCTTCTACTTCAATCACCTCATGTGCTCTCAGAAATTGCTGTGGGAAATGGGGTGGGGTGGGCAAGGGGAATGTTCCAGATCAGAAAGGGGAAAAAGTCCCACAATATAATTTTGCTCATACTGTACACAACACTGGATCTTCTCTAATGTCAGTACCATTTGCACCTCCTTCTTTCATATTTTCCTACAATTCAGTGAGCAAAGAAGGGTCTCTTCTGATTACAGTATATCAAAACATGAACAGGCTGATGTAGGGAGAGATACTGTCCCCTTTCATATATTTAGATTATAAACTTGCAGATGTTTAATGCGAAGTCCTTAAATTAGGTTCAAAAGTGAGAGGTAGAACATACACTCATTTACAGTTAGAGTAATAAAGTTTTACTTTCTGTATTAGTAATAATCTTGGTTGCCATGTTTACCATTAGCTGAAAATTCCTAATATCAAAGCACATCTGGTGACAAGTGGGCTACAGGACTCAGGACTGTTGGCTGAGCAAACAGGGCCAGCAGCTGCAGGACTACTGGAAGAAAAGTTGTTTACCCATTGCAATTATATGAAGACTGAAAACAAAGAAATAATGATCTGCTATTACAAATCAAGTCCAATGAGAA